TTTTTTTTTTTTTTTTTTTTTTGATAGGTTCTTGCTATGTAGTCCAGGCTGGTCCTGAACTTACTATGTAGATCAGGGTGGCCTCAAACTCACCATGATCCTCTTCTGTTAACCTTCGAACTTCTGGGATTACAAGTGTGCACCCTCATACCTGGTTCTTTGTGTATTCTGAACGCTAGTACCTCCTGTTCAAGTATGATTTATCTATGTTTCATATTGTTACTTGTACTTTTGCTGTCACACTTAAAGAATCATCACTAAATACAAAGTCACAAAGATGTACCCTATGTTCCCCCCCCTAAATTTTAAGTTTTAACTCTTACAATTAAGGTTTTTGATACACATATTGAGTTAACTTTTATGGTGTAGGTAGGGGCTCTGTTTCATTTTTCTGCGTGTAGATACCATGTTGTCTCAGCATTATTTGCTGAAAAGACTATTTTTTACCCTGTGTAAGTAATTCAGCCTCTGTCTTGAAACCAAATGGCCAGAAATGTAGTTTATTTATGGACTCTGACTTCTATTCTATTGGTCTATATTAACATGTCGCTCTATTTTTTACAACCTAATCTAATGGTCTATCATCACTTCTGCCATATTCTACTCGTCACCCAGACCTACTCTGGTGCACTGTAGAAAACTACAGAAGGGTGACAATACCAAAAGGCAGACACCATGGAGAGCCATCTTGGAGGCCGAGTACCACATTACAGCCACCAACACAAAAAGAGAAATACACTCTTAGTAATTCAAGAGAGCTTCCCGATCTGATTAAGAACAATTTCAAAAACATCACATTTAATGGTGAAGCATTAAAAATATTGCCTTCAAGCTGGGCGTGGTGGCGCACACCTGTCATCCCAGCACTCAGGAGGCTGAGGCAGGAAGATCGCTGTGAGTTTGAGACCAGCCTGGGCTACATAGTGAGTTCCAGTTCAGTCTCAACTACATAGTGAGACCCTGTCTCAAAAAAAAAAAAAAAAAAATTGCCTTCAAGCCTGTTGTGGTGACACATACCTGTAATACCAGCACTGGGAAAGCTGAAAAAGGAATATTGTGAGTTTGAAGCCCTCCTGGGCTACACAGTGAGACTTGTCTCAAAAAACATTCCCTTTTAATCCCAGGAGCAAGCTCGGTGTGGTGGCCTGGTGCCATGTGCCTATAGTTTCAACCACTCAGGAGGCTGAGTTAGGAAAATTGCTTGAGCCCATGAACTTGGGCCAAAGCCCTAGGCAATTATCAAGACTCTGTCTTTGAGAAAACAAAGCAAATACCAGGAATAAGACAAAAATGTCTACTATTCCACTCTTAGTATTTGTAGTTGTTAGCCAGCGTAATGAGCCAAGACAAGGAAGACATATAATTTGTAAGGAAGATGTGCTTTAGAAATAAAATTTTTTTCAATGGGAAGAAAGGAGCTAAAGGTGTAGGGAAGGTGGAATGGGTAGGGGAAGGGTAAAAAGGGAAAAGAAAAAAATGTGAGATAATGAAAAGATGAAAATAAAGTGTTTGTAGATGGGGAGGGGCGGAGTGGGTGAAGGGAGGGCAGAGGTAAGGCGAAAAATGAGAGTCAGGACTTGTCATGTAGAGGTACAAGATCCCAACAATGAATGTAACTGTACTGTATCCCTAAAATGTACCAATAAACTCAATTAAAGCTGAAAAAAAAAAAGAAATAAAATTTTTTTCTGCATGAAAAACTGAAAAAGAATCTATGAGGCTGGGTGTGGTGACACATATCTATAATCCCAGCACTCGGGAGGCTGAGGCAGGAGGATTGCTGTGAGATCCAGGCCAGTCGGGGAAGGGGAGAGAAAGGAGGAAAAGGGGATAAAACATAGAGTTGCAATATGTTACGCACACATACAAACTCCGCATGAGAAATATTGGCCTTACGTGATGCAAACATATCAATAATAAACATATTAACAAAAAACCCACAAGAACTTACGAATAACTTAATAAGAACAATTAAGAAAATTTCTGCATTATGTCAACAAGAAACAAGAAAACAGTTTAAATGATGCCCTTTTTGTGACAATAAAAATGCTGAAATACTTAGGAAGAAATCTGGGGAAAATGTTTAAGAGCCTGGTGCAGAAATTTATAAAAGTTTACTGAAAGACTTTTTGGGAGACTAAATGAATAGGGACAGTATGGTTCAATATGTGAGTAAGAATCAGGTAGATAGTCATCCTTGAGTAGCATAAAAGTCTTGCCATTCAGTTATAGCAACTGAAAATGTGGTATTGATAAAAGATGAAAATTAAGCAAATAGAACAGACAGTGAGGCATAGAAAGAGCCATGTGATGGGAACTTGATACCCTCGAGCTATCCATTTGAAAACAAGCACTTAGGACCAGAGATGTGGCCAGTGGCACTGCACCTGCCTGGCAAGTGCAAGGCCCAGAGTTTGATTCCTTCAGTTTCTGGTATGAAGAAGGGCGGGGGAGACATTGAATTGGACCCATTAAAAAAATCCAGCTGGGCATTTAGCTCAGTGGTGCCACACCCGCCTCACAAGTGCAAGGCCCTGAGTTCTGAGTCCCATCCCTGGTACAGCCAAAAAAAAAAAAAAGATCCTACGATGATGCGTGCCTGTGATCCTAGGGCTTTGGAGGCTAAGGCAGGAAGATTGTAAGTTTGAGCCCAGCCTATACAAATTAGGTACTTAGCAAGACTCTATCTCAAAATAAAAAATGAAAGAGTTGTAGTTCAGTGTGAAGGCCCGGGACTCAATCCTCAATCCTAAAAACAAAATCAAAAATAAAAACAAAAACTTTACCTTACATCAAAGAAAAACCAATTCCAATTGCATGATTGAAGACTTAAATGTGGAGCCAGGCGTGGTGGCGCATGCCTATAATCCCAGCACTCAGGAGGCTGAGGCAGGAGGATCGCTGTGAGTTCGAGACCAGCCTGGGCTACATAGTGAGTTCCAGGGTAGTCTGAACTACATAGTGAGACCCTGTCTCAAAAACAAAACAATACAAAACAAAACAAACAAAAGACTTAAATGTGGGAAACAGAGCTTTACAACTTCTAAAATAGACATAGCATATCTTCTTGTTATAGATGGCACAAATGAATTCACTTGTTTAAACAGGCCCGTTTGTTGTGAAAAAGAAAAAGTTTATTCCGGTGAACAGAGACTAAAATCAGGGACTACAATCTGGGAGAGGTTGTAGCAGCTAGCAGGGAAAGAAGACTATGCTTATGCAGATTTTGGAGAAGGGGCCATATCATAAGGGATGTTTATAGCTGGGATGCCCCGGGATGTCCTGCTTGGGTGTGCAGACAATCACTGGACTTCTGAGCAGCACCAGGAGGATTGTTGTGCCCATTTGTCCTATTTACTGAGAAGCTGCTGTTGTTTGCTTTGTCCCATTTGTGTTTGGTTCGGCCAGGCCAGCCATGACACTTCTCCCCTGTGACCTCGAGGTAGAAAGATTTCTTGTTTCTTTTTTTGGTAGCCATTAGCGTAAAGCATCCCCCCCACCCCCAAGCAGCCTAACTTCTGCTTTAGGTTTAAAGCCAGCTAACTTCCTCATTCCATCCCTTATACCATTCCCCAGCCCTTGCTCCACCCGCTGCCCCAGGTTTAAAAGCTGCTGCCTTGGCTCTTGGAGGTGGGCTGAAGTCTGTACTCCAGTCCCACTCAGTTGCTCAGACTAGGTTCGAACTTTCGCTGGCCTTCATTCTCTTCCCCCCACCCTACCCAGGGCCTCACCTACCACTGCCAGACAGGGGATGTTCCACTTCGGATGAATGGTAGCAGCCACACCTGCTTGCAAGGGCCAAGTCCTAAGTTCCACCCCCCCAAAATAAAAATGAGTGGTAACTATTAAGTGATGAGTCTACTGTTACTCTTTTTAAAATAAGCACATGTTGTATTTACTCCTATGACAGTTTTCCCAAATTTTGAATACATACGTCCTTTTATTTTTATTTTTGTTTTTTTGAGACAGGGTCTCACTCTGTAGTTGAGACTGACCTGGAACTCACTATGTAGCCCAGGCTGGTCTCGAACTCACAGCGATCCTCCTGCCTCAGCCTCCTGAGTGTTGGGATTACAGGCGTGAGCCACCAAGCCCGGCTTAAATGTATTCTTTCTATAGGGGATATTTTGACAAAAGTCTGTGAAGTATTGTGTCTCCTGGACTACTTGACTACTCACTGTTTTCGGAAAACATCCTGATTCTTCTAATTTCCATGCTTTTGTTGCTATTATTAAAAAATTTACTGAGGGGGTCTGGGGATTTAGCTCAGTGGTTCTGCTGCCTGCCTTGCAAGCACAAGGTCCCGAGTTCAATCCCTGGTACCAAAAAAAAATCACTGAGGGCCAGGGATGTGGCTGGAGGTGCTGATAGGAAAAACTTTAATAGCGAAAATTTAGGAAATGTCACAATACAAGATAACTTCTGCCCCTCACTCTGCTTAGTTCAGAATTAACTGGGAGACACCTAGTCTCTCACAAAAGTTTGTAAGTGAAAAGAACCATTGTTAGCTTTGTTAATCAAACAAGCTCCCTTCCCCCTGGCTAGAGTAGGTAATTAAATGAATCTTAAAGGTAACTTCCCTGACAAAGAACTGCATCAGGGTTGAAATTCAACTGCCTTGCTATCATGTTTTGGGTATCTGTGAAAATGTAGTGTAACCAACTGAGTAAGATCAAAGCTGTAAAACCCTATAAAAGTAAGAGTTGTAGCCCAATGGGGGAGTTGATCAGGGCACCGCCATTAGGGGTGATCGATCCCTATCGATGGAGTAAACTTTTTTATTTTACTTCCATTCTGCTGCCTCTCTGTGTGTCACTTGCTGTCTCCTTCCGTAACAGTGCCATGCCTGCTTGGCAAGTGCAAGGTCCTGAGTTCAAGTCCCTGTACCGGAAAAAAAAAATTTACTCAATCAGTTGGGAGTGGGTGAAAGCGTTCTTTCCTGTAATTAACACAACTTTGACCTACATTCTGTGTTGTCACAGGAGATCGACTTATTAGTTTGATGCAAGCCTGCCTTGATTTGAAATTTGACAACCTGAAGGATATATGATATTGTTCATGCAACAGTACAAACTTTGCCAATGACAGTGATTTTTTCCAGTTCATAACTGTTTGGTGAAATTGTCACTTACAATTAATTTTGCTATGTAAAAAAAAGACAAAATTAAAATGGAAAACAGATTAAAGAAAAATAAAAGCACTATTTTGTTATTGGAGATTTATTCAGCCCCCAAAACTTAGTATAGACTCATGGTCAAATTTCTAATAGATGGCTGGCTATTCATTACATTGTATCAGAACTGTCACGAGGTTTTACTGGTAATTTTGGCCATTAGATTCCAGTGGATCGAAAGATAGAAACTTAGAATTGCAAAAAAAAAAAAAATCTATAGTTCTAAAGGGTGGCTTTTTTAGCCATGAATATAAAGTTTAATATCTTCTCACCTCTCACTCTAAAAATCATACTAAGAAAACATTTCTCATTACCATATATTGGCCAAGTCCAACTCTGAGTGACTCTCTCACCTATATAAAGCATTAATTGTGCAAAAGGATTCCCATCAGGAAGCAAGTTAAGCAAATTTGTCATCTATTGCATATGCTCGTGTGTCCTGAGGACAAGAGATTTAAGTTTCAACACCTATTTCTTCTGCCTGTTTGATCTCTTAAACCCATCATATCTAGAAGCACTATATTGAAGGGTACCTCCTACTGTAAGACCTAAAGTCTCACTTCCACTCCACGGAGCGTGAACAGCCGAAAGGCCTCCACGATTGTGCAAAAATTCCCATCAGGAAGCAAGTTAAGCAAATTTGTCATCTATTGCATATGCTCGTGTGTCCTGAGGACAAGAGATTTAAGTTTCAACACCTATTTCTTCTGCCTGTTTGATCTCTTAAACCCATCATATCTATAGGAG